CTTGGCCTGCTATTTATATTATTGTCATCCTTATCCTCATTTATTTACATAGCATCAACAATATACGTGGATCAGTAAAAATGTTAAAATGAAGTAAGGAAGGTCTGCCCCTTCGACTGTACCATCTATTATATTTTGATCTCCTTGCACCCTTTATCAAACTTGATAGGTATAATAAGACTAGAAGGCAAACTGGATAACAGAGATAACCGACAGGTTTTTAAAACCTGAGATGTTGTTGAGAATAAGTGTTCTTAATTTTTCAGAGGAAGTGAGTGAAAGGGAAATGAAATTTGGATCTACGTGAAGTATCACATTAACAGATCTAACATGATTTCATTCGTTATTGAAGGCTTTTAGTAAATCTATCTATGCCAGCACCAATAAGAGTAACATTATGATTGGGAGACAAGAAATCCAACTCAGTATTCACAATGCCACCTAGTGGTGGAGGGTTGCCATTCTCCTCTCAAACCTAGAAAAATATTTTGTCTATAGTGGAAGTTAAGGAATGAAGAGTAAACAGATGTGTTTTGTTTGTTCGAATGGAAGATGTACATATGTATGCTTTTATTTACCTGTAGCATTCACAGGTTACTTTTCGGGAGCAATACTGCTCAAGGCAGTGGAAAACGGTTTCTTTTGTGTGGCATTGTTGTACACAAAGTGTTTCATGCCCAAAAAACAGTTCTTTAGGAAATTATCCACAGTGAGGTACCCAACAAAAGTATTGCCAAATTACCTAATAGGACAGTAGGCTTGGAAAACCAGCATAAGTGTGGGCTGGGTATTCTGAGAGTTGTAGTGAAAATTAGTAACATCTCCTAGCCCTTCCTTCCTTCCTTCCTTCCTTCCTTCCTTCCTTCCAATGGGGTTTGGGGCTTACTGTCTGACTTTTGTACAGTCTTAGTTTTAAAATGCAGCAGGAATTCATTATTTCTATTGTTGCCGATAATATGCTGTTGCTGCTATGGATGTAAAACAGCTTTCTGGTTTGTTTGTTTTTAATTTTTAATTTTATTTATTTATTTATTTTATATCCCGCCTATCTAGTCAGCTCAGACCACTCTAGGCGGCTAACAATCAGCAATGAGACCAATAAGAACAAAATAGTTTGGTTAGATGTTACAAAGTGTGATTATTGCAAAGTGGTTCTGCACAAGCTCTGACAGCCAACAAATTATGGTTTAAATTAGGAATTTAATTATCAATCTGCAAACAAGGGTTCAAAGATAATACAGTACCCCAAATGGTGTAAGTTTTCATATGAAAATAATACTGAACCTTCTGTCTATAATATGATGCTGTTCAGCCCAGTTCTGTACTTATTATTCAAAATGAATCCCAGTAAGTTCATTCATTCAGTTTACTGTATTTGCATCCTACCTTTCTCCCTGCCCCCTGAAAGAGACCCACTTCAGTGGGTCAGCTAACAAGTAAATATACATTGTTGTTCTTGATGTTGTTTAGTCGTTAAGTCATATCTAACTCTTCATGACCCCATGAACCAGAGCATGCTAGGTCCCCCTGTCTTCCGCTGCCTCCCGGAGTTTGATTAAATTCATGTTGGTAGCTTCGATGACACTGTCCAGCCATTTCATTCTCTGTTGTCACCTTCTCCTCTTGCCTGCACTCTTTCCCAACATCAGGGTCTTTTCCAGGGAGTCTTCTCTTCTCATGAGATGGCCAAAATATTGGAACCTCAGCTTCAGGATCTGTCCTTCCAGTGAGCACTCAGGGTTGATTTTCTTCAGGATGGATAGGTTTGTTCTCTTTGCAGTCCAGGGGACTCTCAAGAGTCTCCTCCAGCACCACAGTTCAAAAGCATCAATTCTTTGGTGGGCGGCCTTCTTTACGGTCCAGCTTTATAGAACTCAACTTTTTATGTTTTCTATATCTCTGGTGTAAATGCAACTTGTCCATATTTCGCAATGGTTGTATGTTTTAGAATTTGTCTGTCAGCTCTCATGGACCTAACCTTTGTAGTTATCTCACTTTTCAAAATATGCAGTCCACACATTACACATTAATGTTGTACTGCATCATAGAAATGAAGGGTGGCAGCGGCTAAAGGCCAACAGGAATAAGTATCAATGCTTTCCCCAAGGTGTGTTTTAGAATATGCAGTGGGGTGCAGATCTGAATAAAAGTTAGTAAAAATGAATGTGAATGTGTGTGTATGTGCTCTTGTATAGGCATTTTAAATTTTTTTATTTTGTTTAATTTCATTTAGCTACAACTCCTAGAACTCCAAAGTTACTGTTGCCACTGATAATGCTGATCAAAGGATTCTGGAGGTTGTAGTCCAAAAGGTAACCTTACCAAGCTCTTCAGTGGATTGGCCAACTAGCCAGTTGAAGTAATTTTTATTCACCTGTTTATCTTTTGGAGATAAAATTCCAATTGTTGTTGCTGAGTATATCCTTGCAAAGCACAGTCTGGATGAATAAGGAGGACGCTTGTCCTCAGAGAATTCCGTATCTGGAAAAAGGAGCACTTTAGGATAGCTGTTCCTAGTTTTGGGTCCCCAGATGTTTTTTGCTCGTCACCTCCCAGAAGCAAGTATGGCCACGGGTGGAGGGTTGTACAGAGATTTAGTCCAACAACATCTGGGAATCCATGCTTGGGAATTACTTCTATAGCTGAACTAATGCAAATGCTGCCCTCTTGAGAGAGCAGGTGTGCCCGTTCACTTCAATGGATAGGGTAGCTTTACTGCTACCTGGGTGTGAGAGCATCTGGGAATACCAGAGGGCTCCAGGTAGAATCCTACCTGAAACACTGTCTGATCCAACATGAGGCAGCTTTCTATGTTCTTTCCGCTGTTGTAGTAGGAGAAGAGGGGAAACAATTGCTAGCATGGATTAAAGCCCCATAAAGATTTCCTTGAGAAAAACAGGGACGGGCTATCATGCTCAGCATCTGACAGATTGCCTAATCTGGTAGGATTAAGGTAGAATCCTAACTCCATTCCCAAGACTAATCATGCCCTGCTCATGACCTCCTCGGTATATCTGGCTGGGTAAAGCCAGGAAGAGAACACTAGAGCAGAAGGACTATTGTCTGATCGAACAAGGCAGTTCTTACATTTTTGTACTCCGGGACAAGTGCCATGATTAACTGTGTCTTATGAGAATATAACTCTATTTATATGGTGTGAAAACACACCCCTCTTGAGCAGGTGGCCAAACAAAAAGTACATCAAATAAAATGGATGGTTACCATGGCCTGGTAGCCCGACAAGAACATTTTCACTCTCGGCACGCACAATAAATGCAATTGAACAGGCCAGATTTACATTTCTGTGTAATTTTTTTATTATTCATTATTTTACCTCTCTGGTCGTAACAAAAACTATGCCGTCTGGTGAATATGATGTAGTGGAAAAAATGAATGGGCAGTAAATGTAGTTTTGTAGTTCAAGTGGGGGGTGGGTGTTGGAAAATATGACTCATGATGCTTCTAATTTAGGATTGGGGACTTGGGGGCTTACTAGAACTTAAATAGTACCTAGATTTCCAAAAAGCTACTGCCATGTAATGCCATTATTTTGACCTGGGGCTCTTCAAACCTCCTCCAGCAACAATATTTCATTGCCAATTAAGCTTTATCCCCGTGACCTCTTCTGGCTTTCACTTGGGTTATGGAAATGCTGGACAGAACTGCTCCATGTTTTAACATAACTAGTGTTCCTATATCAGTAAGAAGGTACACAAGTTAAGTATGAATAGAAGCCAGCAGGCATGGCTCCTGCCAGGCAATTGTGAATTATTTAATGAGTAGAGCCGTACGTAATAGATTTCTATCCTCTCCATCCATTTCTGCCATCGGCTGGCTTACAGGTTTCTTATCTTGGGAACAATGTTCATATATCCAAACTAGTTAAAAGTGTGGAGAAATTTCATGGTCAACGTGAGGCTGGAGAAGGAAATATTCCAATGGTCATCTTCCTATTGGCTTTCTTCAACCTCTCCTCGGTCAGGACCGAACAAAAGTTAGTTAGAGGTTGCTATCTAGCAGGAAGCTAGAGCTAGGATTTCTGTCAGGTGTAAGTGTTTGAGGGGGTCAGGCTGGGAGTCAGCACCATCCTGTGGTAGGAGAGAGTATTGTTGCCCAACCAAAATACCAGCCTGACAGAAACAAGAAAGAAACCCCACCACCTGAGGCAGGAGAACAAGGAATTCTTCACTTTTGCCTTTATTGGTTGTCACTGCTGAGATACCTAAACTGGATAGGTTCTCTGGAGAACAGCGCCAGCTGGTAGAGGCAAAGAGTAGCCAGAATTGGTATCTAGAGAGCTGCCAAAACCGAAATGGTTGGAGGAATCCTTCCTCAGAGCAAGGCATTATGAGAGAGGGGGGCTACCAAGACCAACTTTGTACAGCTGCCATGGTGTCTTCTTGAGTTAGTCGGGTGAGGGCAAATTTGCCAAATTTTCCACTCTCCGATTTGGAAAAGGAACCTCACCCTGCCTTGTGGAAGGCCTGACACCGTAACCTAAACAGGAAACCTTTTTACTCCCTTGTGATGAAGAAAACCAATAATGTCTTGCTTTAACTTGATGATCTTCTTTCATAGAAGGAACAGCTACCCCCAACAAGTGATGGGTTCCATGTTTAAGGGCCTCCTCTCTTGTGAAAGAGACCAAAAGGAAGGGTTAAAACAATCAGACTGCAATGAATCGTGAAACCCAGTTCTGTATTTTTGTCAAATGAGGACAAATTTATATATACCATTTTGCTCAGAAGTAAGTGCTATTAAGTTTAGAGAATTTTCCAGGTAAGTACTGTATCAGTAAGACGTCAGTCTTAATAGTAGTTATGGGATGCACACAATCTCAAACACAACATTTATACAGATTACATTGTTATTTTTTCTGAGAATTCAGATTGGATAGTTCCGATAATTTTAATTCATTTTTGGTGCAGAAAACATGCGTTTCCTATTTATGTTTACAGTTCTCTTTTGTCTCCTTCTCCCCACCCCCACTCCCCCCTCAGAGTGAACTGGATGAGAACCAAATCCAAATGGCCGGCGATGATGTAGATTTACCAGAAGACCTCCAGAAAATGGTGGCTGAAGATCAAGTAGAAGAAGAAGACAAGGATTCTATTCTTGGACAGCTTCAGAACATCCAGAACATGGACATGGACGCTATTAAAGAAAAGGCCCAAGCTACTTTCACTGATATTAAGCAGGCAGCTGAACAGAAATGTTCTGTCATGTAGTAAAGACATTTACAAGATTTATGTACAGATGCCCAATAGAAATGGCGAGCCATGGATGCTCCCACTGGTTATTTGCCACTCTCTACCCATTTATAAGGAGTTTAAATAACTTTAAAAACACATCACATCCATTTATTGACAGATGTTGGTGGCAATATAGTGGGATCTTGAAACACCAGGGAATGTTCGAAAGCTCTAACTGCAGTTGCAAATATTACTGTTTGCATTGGTGTCCAATCCATCAAAGGCCATCATGATTTTGGGTTTTGAATTTCATGTTAAAATGTGCTTTGTTAACAGGGAATGGAAGCATATTCAATTTCCTAAAATTTCAGTTCATGGGGTGTACAGTAGTTTTTATCTGCTTTTATTACAGCAGAGTTGCCTAGATGAGTGGTACTTAACCTTGGGTTATTCAGGTGTTTTTGGACTGCAACTCCCAGAAGCCTTCACTACCAGCCGTGCTGGCTGGGGTTTCTGGGAGTTGCAGTTCAAAAACACCTGAGTAACCAAAGGTTAAGAACCACTGGCCTAGATAATAAAGATTAACCATACATGGTGTCTATTCTACATAGATGACTTTGCTAAGTAGTAGTGATCTGAAAAGGTGAATATTTTGATGTAATAAACATTATATTACAAAGAGGCCCCCCAGCTTTACTGTTGTTGTATGTGAACCATACATTTTGTACTAATGTATTTGATCAGCCTGAAGTGATAGAATCTTTTCCTTAGAAAAGAAAATGACTTTGTATGAAAGATAACGCAGAGCATTTAGTCACTGCTCTGTCATGAAAGGGACATAACACCACATACCTCAAAACACATGACTGTAAATATTTGACAGACACCTGTATCTTTTAGCAAGCTGAATAAAACATCAGTTGGATTTAGGGAATTGTGGTATCTTTCCCCCATGGGCCTGCTCTTATGCTTTTAATGGCATTTTGACAAACAGAAAATTAACTGCTGAAGTTTTTGGGGGGAAACCTTCACTTACTAAATTTGGATTCTATCAAATGTTGAGGGTTGGCTTCAGAGGCTAATGGGCCTATGCTAAGTACAGTACCATTTAGTTTATATGAGAGGTGAGTGGATTTGTGATTTGGACTACAACCTCCAGAATTTTCTAGCCAATATGGCGTCTTGAGCATGCTTTCTGGGGAATTCTGGGAGCTGTAGTCCAAAAACACACATTTGCTTAAGCTTCAACCCACAGAGTGACATATTTGTCTTGAAAGTGTGGATTAGGTTGATTGACTTCAAAATGCAGACCTAACAAGGACCCTTATTCCTGCAAAAGGACGAAAGATGATCACACTTAAAGAACCCCTTCCCTTCAAGTACCAGAGAATTTAAGGGGGGGAACTACAGTTATGTATACAGAAATAACTTTTAAAGCAAATATCAATGTAGTAGTATATAAATTGAACCTAGATCCCAGTCCTGGGACTCCTTTTGATGTCAGATTATTCTTCCCAGAATCCCAACCATTGTCCATTCTGGCTTGTGATGTCATGGGAGGTGGATCCTTGCATAATTGCAAAATAATGGCTGAAATCCTGTTATGTAGTTATGCAAAAAATGTAACTTTTACATGCATAAAACTGCAGGTTAACAAATTATCTGCCTCACACCAGTTTAAACTAAATCCCAATGTCTTTTTCCTCCACAAAGCAATTCAAGCATTAAAAGTATTGGTTTTTAAGGTCTGTTTAAAATAGTACAGTGATGCCCTGCATAGTGAGGTTAATCCGTTCTGGATTAACCGTCACTATGGGGAAACATTGCTATACAGAACGGAAAATGCCATAGGAATGCATTAAACTTAGTTTAATGCGTTCCTATGGCTTCTAATCTCACCGTTAAGCGAAGTTTCCCCATCCGGCCACCATTTTCACGCCCTCGGTAAGCGAGGGCAGGGCGCGAAAACGCTGTGCGTGGCCATTTTGGGTGTCCGACGGCCATTTTGGAACCACCGAACAACTGATTTTTAAAAATCGCTATGCGAAAATCGGTAAGCGAAACGCTTACCGATCATCGCAAAGCGATTTTTACCCTATTAAATCATCACAATGCAATCGCATAAGTGATCCCAAAAAACAGATCGCTATGTGAATTCATCGTTAAACAGTGCGCTCGTTATGCGAGACACCACTGTACCGTCTCTGTGCAATTCCCATGCTTGTTTTCTGTCATGTACCTCCTTATGCCAGAATCATATTGTTGATATTTAAATATAATGACCATGCAATTCCCATGCTTGTTTTCTATCATGTACCTCCTTATGCCATAATCATATTGTTGATATTTAAATATAATGAACATGGGAGGGAGAGATGTATCTATTATTAAAATTCTTTTTTCCTAGCATTTTCTTGTTGTTGTTTGGGTGGGTGGGTGGAATGTTCTACAGATACTTTTTTCCCCCTAAGATATCGTTCCCTAAAACTGTTTCCCTGATCTAATTATAAACCATATTTTGCTCTCAATTAAAAATGATTTAGATTAACATTGCAATTCTACATATGGCTACTTAGAAACAAGTTGACTGAGTTGAATGAGACCTTTTCTCAGTTAAGTATACATGTAATCATGGCATGATTCTGTAACAATATTTGCCTGTGTGTACCTCAACTTTTCCAACTTTGCAATCTAAAATAGCTTTATGCTTTACAATGCATGTGTGCACAAAAGAAAATGCCACTAATTTCAGTGGGGCTTACTCCCGGGTAAGAGGGCACAGGATTACAGCCTTTGTCTGAGCAGGAAGCCAAATGTTCTTAGAAGCACAGCGAAACTTTTAAGGTACCAGAGGAGGGAAACCTATCTACAATCCAACAGTGCTATGATGGACACACTTCCCTATCTCAAACCCCCCCCCACACACACACACACCAGTGTCAGACCTGGGAGAACAGCTGATTCTGTTTGTTTCCAAGTCACCACACACAATATTCAGAAATGATTTTGGCACCAGAAGTAGAAAATCCTATCAGCCCCAACTCCCTGCTGTAACCTTTAGCTATTTACAAGAGCCTCATGGTGTAGCGGTTAAACTGTGGTGCTGCAGTGAAGACTCCGCTCATGGCCTGAGTTTAATCCTGGGCTGAGGCCATTGGCTCAGCCTTCCAGCCTTCCAAGGTCCATAAATTGAGTACCCAGTTCATGGGGAAGGGAAGGGAATGTGTAACCTGCATAATTAAACTGAGAACTGTCCAGAGAGTGCTTTAAGCACTTTAGGCGAGTATATAAGCAGAACACTTTTGTTTTGCTTTTTTATGTATTTAAAATATTTATAAGATATTAAATAAATAACCACTGGCTGCCCTTCCATAACACTCAAAAACATTTGCTTTTATTTAATAGTAGGGCCAGTTCTGGACAGCAGAAGTTAACTGACAGTTTCAGGTCACGTTTTTCTGCTTACAGTGGACCCTCGACTTAGAGACGGCTCCACTTACAGACTTTCAAGTTACAGACTTCTCTGGCTGCAAAATTTAGGTTCGACTTGCAGCCGGAGAATCGACCTACAGACCGGGAAAAAACCCAAAATGGAACAAAAACTGTGGTTAAGGATTAATCGGTTTTCAGTGCATTGTAGGTCAATGGAGCCTCGACCTATAGACTTTTCGACCTGCAGCCACCATTCCAATACTGATTAATTCCATAAGTTGAGGGCCCACTGTGGGGCTTTCATTTCCACTGAGCAACTGTGCCAGATAACCTTCCGAGTAACTCCAGTCCCCATGTGGGCCCTACTGCAGGATGAACTGTGGCACTCATATGGTGCTGTCAAGGAGCGCAGAGCACCAGTTACATAAACCACGAGACAAGAGGAAATTAGCCACAGGTAGCTGAGGTTGGAAGATTACAGAGGCATGGATAGGTGAGCCAAAGGTTACAAGTAATGAATGTGGCTTAGGGATGGCAATGAATAGCTGGAGCCATAGACTTTGTTTAAGGGTGGATGCTGAAGAGCAGCGTTTAAGACAAAATCCAGTAGCAGACTGCAGCCTGGCCCAGATATTTAGAAAAAGACCAAGTAAAGCAACTGCCTTGGGCAGCAGAGGGAGGGCGATAGGAAGAGGCAGTTCTCTCTATGTCACCCAATTTATTCTTGGTACGTAAACAAACAGCAGTATAGGCTCTCCCACCCCTGCTGCTGAAGAAAGATCCAACGACCGATCCACTTGACTTCCATACCCGGAAAGGAAGAATGGGATTTTGTCTTTTTAGGCAGCACACCTTAGGTAAGTCCTGGCTGGCATAGGTTTCATCATACAGGATTCAAAAGAAGCTTTTCTGGCTTCCTCTTTGTGTTTCAACCCCTGTCAGAGATTCTGTTTTTTCTTATCGATAACATTCTCAGCAGTTAGGGTTGGAAACTCCACTGCCTTCCCTAGGAAACAATCCAATGTTTTTTCCTCACATTCTGAGGTTCTTTTACCCCTTACAGAGGCACACGTGGTGGGGCAATTCAGAGCCGTGGCTAGCCACTTGGTCACCCGTGGCAACTGTAAGGCCTCACTCACTTCGCCTTGACGCCTGGGCGTGCACTGGGAAACAAGGAAGAATGTGATAATTCTCCCATAAAGCAAAAAAGAAAGTTTGTGTTTTCAAATAAAAGGAAAGTTAATAGGGCCATGAGGTGCTCCCATTTATTTCCCCAATATTCATCAACAGATTCCTTTCTAGATTTTGGTGCCCTGAGGCAAAGCCCTAGTTGTACCTCTCAAGTTATGGCTCTGGCAAAATTGAGTCAGGTTGGCCCCGGTTGTGTCACTCCCTCACCTGGCAGATTAGGTAGGCTCCCTCACAGTTGGCCTTTAGGAAAATACTACATAGCTCTGCCAAGCTTTTAGTGATGAATGCTACTCCTTGATTTTGAATGGCTCTCTTGTTTTATTGAAAAAATATATGTTTTATTTGTCTTGTTTTCTGTTTTTTTTTAAATTGGTTGTCTTTGTTTATTTATTGTTAAGGATTTTGTTGTAAATTACCTCAAGTACCCACTGAGTGGAGGAGTGATTTAGAAGGATGTTAAATAAATGCATACGTAACTACAATATTTTAAGACATATAGAATATATAAGTCAGTACTTCGTTGCAATACATGAACACAGAAAAGCAATCATGTGAGCATTTCCCCAACTCTAGCAAGTTTCCTGTTATATGCCTATTATCATATAGGTTGTGAGGTCAGCTGCACAGTCAGGTTAAACTGCAGTACTGCAGTCAAGACTATGCTCGTGACTTGAGTTCAATCCTGACAGGCTCAACTATGCAGCTCATGGAAGAGAGGGCAATATATATATATCACATAATTATATTGTAAACTGTCCAAAGAGTGTTTAAAGTGCTAAGGGGCATTATATAAAC